CAAACAAAACAGTTTTTATATCTATCCAAAAGCTGGAGTAAATGAATATGACTTGCTTATGACCCACTTGTGTAAACTTGATGTAAAATTACAAAAGCTGTGCTAGGTTAAGAAGTAAAAAAAAAAAGATGATCTATTCTAAGCAATAATTATTTTGACATTTATTGAAAACTTTAAATATGCCTAAATAACACATTTATATCCAATAAACATAATAGAAACACACAAAAATGCATAACAAAAAATGGAAATAGGTCATTTTTGACATGTGCATTTGATTAGTTGTGATCAAAAAGTTTTATTAAAATAGTAAACAACAACAACAACAAAACAGCATGTTTAGCAAAAAAAACAAACAAGCTAATTAGAGTTATTAGACGAATGCCTGCAATACAGGCTGATGACGAAATAAATTTATTGCAACGCAACATAGAAAGTTTGGTCACTTCTGTCAACATTGATTGAGCATCAACTTATTACGGTAATGATCTAATCCATCCTTCTGATCCCCATAAACACAAACAACCTAAAGCTATCAGTAAGAGTTGCATTACTTACAAACAGTCCTGAATTCGGATTAGCCGAGACAAAGAGCAGAAGCTAACCGTTGCTGCAGATGTGGACGGATCGATCCCGAAATCGATTGATATCGATATCTACGTGGAGGTGAGATCGATGCTTTTGCTTCATTTTCTCGTGGTGTAGTTCGATACCAGGCTTTTCTGGTACGATACGATACCGGGCAAACTTTGTGCGGCATCGGTGGTATCGATCTCATTCCTGATACTTTTTGCAACGACGCCTAATGTGTCAGGTAAGCCTAAAAAAAGCAGTGTATTCAAATCAAAGTTGCATAAAGAATGCAAGACAAAGTAATTTATTTATTTTAAACTCAGGAGTATGTTGATGCTGTGGCCTCATTTAGTCTGACCTCATTAAACAAACATGATCATACAAAATATGTGAAAATGTTTTTTCAAACTATATAAAAAAGGAAAAATAATAAAACTATTAAAATAAATAATTAAATATCTATTAAATAATGAGATATGTTTAAGATAATATGTTATATTTTTACACACATTTTTGTAGTATATATTTTTCAGAGTTCACCAAGGCTGTTTTATCTCCATTGCTCTGTATAATTTGATGACACCTGGTCCATGTAATCCACTTTAAATTATCTATTTTTTATGAAAGCTTACCTGAATAAATCTAGGCTTTTTTGCCCATGTGAGATTATCTCAGTGATACACATTACTCCAAACTGAACTCATGCAACTATTTATTGAAGCATAAATTTATTTTAATGATTTCATAACCATATGTATTAATTTGAACAACTTCAACTGCAGCAGTTCTTAGCACAGCTGAAAGCTCCACGGTTCCTCTCCTGGATAGTCCTGCAGCCCTGAGGGACTCCTCCAGAGCAGCAACACCTGACTCTCCTCCTCTGTCCACCTCATCAATGCTTCATATTCTGTGTTGTGGTTTAACTGGAAGTGTTTCACAAGGTTTGTTGTGTTGCTACAGCTCTTTACAGATTTTCCACAAACCTCACAACCCGCTTCTTGGCTGTTTCTGGAGCTGAAATAGCTCCACACATGACAGATAAACTCCACTACTGTCTACAGACTGAGCAGTGTGCCGCTCCGCTCAAACGCATTACGCATTTACTCAAGTGGAAGAAAAAGTAGTTCCCTCCAACCGCGTATCATTTAGACAATATCTCAATAGTTTAGTTACTTTCCACCATCTTCCTGTTGATGATATGCATTACCTGAAATTACAGAAGTATCAAAACTATCGATAGTTTGATTTAAAAATCTATTCGAGAGCGCAGCGTTCTGGCATAGATAGTATCGCTATTTTAGTATCGATCCGCACAGCACTACTTTCTCTTCTGTCTGCACTGATGCGGTTTCATGAAAGATGCGAGCTGCTTGTAAGTGCTGCTCCTGTCACAGCACAGAGCAACTTTGCAAAGGCAGGCAGGGCCCACAGAGAGGCTTCTGGGAATATTTATCTGAACTCAAGGCTTTGGAGGTTGTTTTGTCCCAGGGGTCTGCAATCTGTGGCTCTGGAGCCACATGTGGCTCTTTGGGCCCTCCACAGCGGCTCTTTCAAGCTTTGACCAAAACTAACATAAAACTAAATTTTATAGGATGTTATATCCACATCAAAACAATGACTAGTTTTAGCAGTTTTCCTGTAATTTCCTTTGCAAATATGTTGATACTAGTACTAATACACAGAGTAATACACAGCTGCTGTTGGCTGTCCCAAAGTCCAACAGGAGGCTGAGAGGTGACGGAGCGTTGTCAGTCGCTGCCCCTAAACTGTGGAACGAGTTGCCTCTGCATGTCAGGCAAGCTGACTCACTTCCTGTTTTTAAATCTGCTCCGAAGACTCATTTTTTCTCTTTGGCTTTTAACGCAGCTTGACGTGTTGGCTTTACTGTTTTGTTATTTGTTTTATTGTTGTTACTGTTTGCTGCTTTATGATTTGGTAGTTAATTCCTTTTATGGTATTTGTTGAGTTCATAGTTTTTATGCTTGTATGTGTTAGTGTACAGCACTTTGGCCAACGGTGTTGTTTTAAAGTGCTTTATAAATAAAGTTGTATTGTATTCTATTGTATTGTAAATTATACTCATTTTTAACTTTTTGCTTTGTTTCTTCAAAGTAGGATACATTATTCAATTTCTCCACAATTAAAAAATATATAAATCTGTACAGTTCATTGTTTTTTTGTTTTTTTTTAATTGGCAAAACAATACCTTTAAAAAAAAAAAAAAGAATACAGTCTTCTGTGATGGACTTATGACCTGGATATGGGCACCAGTGAGCCCCTGCAACCTGAAAAGGAAGAAACAAGTAAAGATGGATGGATGGATGAAGATATGAACTAAGAAAAACGTTAACTAAAAACACATTAAGCACACACTTCCGGAGGGCTTAGTCTGCGGAGTCCCAAGTAAACTGTTTTCCCCACTGCAGTACACTCCTTTAATGGACCAACCAGTTTGCTGGTTTTGCTGGTGACTGATGAAGCCCTCTGGATAGAGGGCGAAACATTTTTCCACAAAAAAGAAACTGTGCAGATGACCTGACTGACCATTACTGTATTTTGTACCTGGATGATTGAGCATGAACTGTGATGTTTTTGTAAAAAAAAATTACAAAACACTTAAACGTCATCAAAATTCACCGTAATTCTTTAAAAGAATCGGTATTGGTATCCCTATCGACATCGGATCGATACTCCCTATTTTGCTTTTTTCTGAAGTATCGCATACCACTACGTGCGCTGCACATGGTTGGAGGAAATCAAAAGTGAATCTTAACTCCGAATTTGTGCAATTATTCATTCTGACCACTAGGGCGGAAAAGGTAAACCCTAAATGTAACATTATTTGCAATGTGTTGCAACCACAGTATGTGTTGGTGATGCTCAGCTACTACCACACCAACTTTTGGATGAGTTATTCCTATTGTTGGTGTAGTTGACATTGCTTTGCTGTGGTGGCCATTTTAAATAAAACTGACTCCAGGTGTTTATCAGTTTTTGTCTGTACAGCACTTTGGTTGGCCTTGTAGCTGTTTTAAGTGCTTTATAAATCAAGTGGTATGGTATGGTATCAGTTGTAGATGTACTTTCCAGGGGTGATTCTAGAATCTGATCTTCAGGGGTGCTTAGCCCCCAGTGCCAACAATGGCTCTGAGTTTCCTGATGAATTCTTCCTTATGTATACTCTTTGTCTGTTGTGTTTTTATTTGACCTGCACAATAGCAGCCACCACTGACACAGTTTGCTCTTATAACTCACATCTTGGAACATAAGTAGTAAAGGTTAGAAGAGACAGCCCGATGATTTCTTTACACTCTTTGTTTTATGTAAAAGGGGGTGCCTCCACCTTCCATCAGTCATTGCAGTGTTTGATGACAGAGGAATGCCAGAGAGCTGAAAAAACAGAACAGGACAAATCCATCTACCAGTAAACATGGAAACTGTGTAATTCCCCTGCCACACCACTAGTTGGTGCTGTGTTCTTTGAAACTTGAAACTCTAGGTGCACAGGCATTAAAAAAAGTTTAATTAATTTTAGATTTTTTAAGTAAAGAGATAGAAAATGAGCACTGTGTTGGAGAGCCGCCATTAGATTTATCAGACTCAGAAGCACAAACAATATTCTGGTATCCGCCAGGTAGTATTTTTAGTAGTTAAATTTGTACAATTTCTGCAATCAGGTGAATCTGACATGCAGCACTACTGGCTGAAAAGAGTTTCCAAAGGTTTATTTACCCATGTTCATTGATCAGCCCAAACTTTTTTTTTTTTTTTAATGATCCAACAAAGTTAAGTCAGGTCCTCTGGATGGTTTCTTTGTGTTGGAAACATTTTGTCTTTCATCCAAAAGACTTCATCAGTCCGAGGAGCCACAACAAACTCAGTCTTAGCACCTTCACATAGTGGGTCAACCAGCTTGATGAAGGTTTGTAAGCTCAATCATCCAGGTAAATAAATACAAAAAAGGTTTAATCATGAACCAGTTTGATGGCGCTCAGACGGTTTCTAGAGTCCGCCCTCTCCCCCGTCGACTCGTATGAGGCAATCATGGCTAAAGTGGTTCAAAATCCTCGGACTGATGAAGTCTTTTGGTTGAAAGATGAAATGTTTCAATAAAAAGAAACCATCCAGTTGAATCAGGATGTTTTTTTGTTTTTTTTTTATGAGTTGCATAAAATTGAAGTCAAATCACATTTTTTTGTAGGATTTATTTAAAGAAAAGCAGTCTATAATTTAATAAAATCATCTTTTTTTTTTTTTGCCATTAATTTTAATCTCTTTACATTTTTGTCACATAACTTCTTTAATCAGACACTTGGAAAGATTTACCTTCTGTAAAGCATAACCTGCTTTTGTCTTATGAACAAAATGTAACGCAACAATCACTGTTATGTTTCATTTTGAATTGAATCAAACAACATGCGGCCTTATCAGTATGAAGCCTGAATGACCTCTGCCTGGGTCATGAATCCAACAGGAGGAGGGTTTGCAGGAATCATCATGACAGGAGCAGGCTGCAGGTGGTGGACGACAGTTTGTGTTTGCAAGTTGATGATAACCGGGGTTTTCTTTCGATTTTTTAACTCTCGATGCATCTGACACCAGGAGCACCACACACAGAAACAGGAAACTGCAATGTCCTTACACAGAGAACCCTGAAAACATAAAATCACGTTCACAACACTGTTTCAGGCACCAATGTTTGGGTTAACATCTCATGTTATACCTTGATCCCATATTTGCTTCTCATGGCAGACCTGAGAGACAAGGCTGCAGGAGGAGCAAACAGAGGAACATCGCAGATTACTGCCAGCGCAGGGCTGAAGATGTCGCACAGTGGGAGACAGTAGTTCTCTCCAAATCTTCCCGAAACACTGCAGGCAAGACAAGGGCTGCACCAAAACCCATAGCAGCCTGGAAAACACGTGAACACACAGAAACTGAGGCACCCAAACGTCTTTTAATCTGAGGAATACCAGTTTTCCTGTTTGCTCTTACAAGAACTTGTATCCTCAAAGCAGTCGCAGAGACCGCTGCTCCATTCTGTCAGGGGGGTTTCTGCCATCAGATGTTGCATTTCAGACACAGATCTGTGAGATCAGAGTTCAAGAGGAAAAACTTAAACAGCAGCATGTGTAACAAAAAAAATCTGACATGTTTCTATATTTGCAGTAGGGGGTTGGTTTAGTTTAAAATCAAACCTTTCCCTATTCACTGGTGACAGATTTGATTAATCCAAACAATATTACTGTAATGCACAGAAAAAATTCTGACCATGTATTTTTTTTTTCTAAGGATTCAAGGTTATTTATTGTCATTTGCATTGCATATGGTACAAGAGGTGGAACAAATATGTGTACATAAGGTCCCAATTACATCCAAGAACAGCAAAAATACAAAGTGTAAAAAGAAACAGTATATACACTAAACAAACCCCCAACAGTATGCTTAAAGATGTAAGATATACACTAATCACTAATAGTGCAAAACACTAAGTACTGTTTAAATACTGTACTTTGTTAATTTTGTCTATGTTTCCACTGGGTGTCAATTTTTAATTTGATCACTTCCACTTGCAGTCCAACAGACAAAGATGCAACAAAATGCCACAGAGTCCAGACATATTAGCCACAATGAAATGAAATAAGAGTTTGAGCTCTAATCTGCTTTACTGAATGAATAAATAAATAAATAAATAAATATCCTAATTTGTTTTTAGAATAAACTGAATTTAAATATTTAAACAGCAGTTACAACAGAAGAATGTCTGCATTGTCAACCAATGAAGTCACAAAGTAAAGTGTTTTACAAACCTAACCATATCTTTAATTATTATAAGGTATTTCACAATGCTGGGAATAAAAACTTTTGATTAAATTTTGCTTCCAGTTTGAACATACTGTTTGCCTGACACGTATAAGCAAATTCTAGAAAATCCAAGCTCTTAAAGCTTCAGGAAAGTTTATTTTCTCATCCCGTTTTTTATTTATTTATTTTATTTTACAATAAATGTGTCCCTGAAAGATCCCATTAAGGAAAACAAAATGAACAATTTCCTTTTTCTTTTATTTTTGAAAAATCTCCTCCATATTTCAATTAAAGTAAAAAAACAACAACTATATTTTGTCTCAACAAACCCCCATATCTGAAGAGCTTTTCCCTAAAGTCCTACAAAAATACAGTTAATAAAGCAAATTAAAATGTAAAATGCATTACTGGTAAATTGGAAGATCTTACTGTTTCTTCTTGTGGTGACGCCTTCACTGAACCTCCTCTCTGCATGGAGAAGAGGATGAGTTCTAGGAGGAGGAATCTTGTCAGCTTCATTTGCTGAAACACAAACAAACCTACAAATCCTGAAACTATCAGAAGAGAGAGACTCCATCATAAACTCCAACTTATTTGTTAACTCTTGACCATAATGGGTGCTATAAAGAGTAGCTGGTCAACTTTCAGTGAATAACTTTTCAATCTTATGAAACGTATTAGACCATCTGGAGTTTTATCAAATACGTCATTGGTTTAATTAGTCCTGAACTCCCTGTTTGAAAGCTGTAAAAAAAAAATACACCTTTTGGCCTCTCTCATTTTAAAAGTATAATAATTAGGTTAATTAAACTGATGTTTATGTTATGTTTAACCAGTGGCATGTAACTCATGGTATGTGTGGACGACGCTCATAGCATACTCAGCAGGGTGTGATGAGGCACCTGGGAGTTTCTTTACATTTAATCTGTGCTGACAGCAACACGCTTGAATGACAAAGTTCAAACTGACTGACGTGATGACATTTGATGACAGATAAGTCCCATCTGCCACCCTGCTGTGAAAACATGGCGTCTTTACATCATATCTGATTAACAACAGACTGATGACAGACTTTCATTTTTCTCTTCTTTATTAGAAACAATACTGCGGTTCTAAACAAAACTAATATGTGATGACATTTCTCTGCAAATTTAACACCCATATCTTTCATCCTTCCACCTGCTGCTTCCTGTTTTTGTTTGTTTTCAGGAAAAAAAAGTTGTTTTTAACCATGTTTTTCATTCTACCTTTTGACCAGTAGAGGGCAGTAGTTTAAACGGATGACTAAGAACGTTCTTAGTTAAGGAAGACCCATCCATCCACCCATACATACATACATACATACATTGATTATCTTTACCCACTTCTTTCTTTTCAGGTCACGGGGGTCACTGGTGTCCATGTCCAGCAGTCACAAAATGTGAGAGGTGGGGGACACCCTGACAGGTTGCAAGTCTAGCACAGGACCTTAAGAAAGATGTTAAAGACTGAAACGTTGCCATGTTACTAAAACATTACGTATGGGACAGATCTGGTTGGCAGGCCGCAGACTGACGAAGTCCTCTGGATGTGTGACAAAATGTTTCTCACTTAAAGAAACGGGTCCAGATGACATGATTTAACCTTTTTTGTTGTTAGGGAGTGTTTCTCAAAAGTCGCTGAACTTGTTGCGAGTCTGACTGCAAACATTTTATTTCTGCACCAAGACGTATGTACAGATGACATAAAGTATGTTTTTTTTTTTTTGTGCTGATATTAGTGTTGCTTTATTATTTTATTTCTTTCAGGTAGAAGTAATCTGGCAAATTGTGTGTAATTCTTAAAAATAATGCCTAAAGATATGTTATTTAAATATACAAGACAAAGTATTTTATTACTGCTGTAAATTCAACTAAAACATTAAAAAAATTGAGCTGTTTACATTTTAGCTTGTTGCTTAGATTTGCATTTTTTTTTTTATCACATTAATTGACAAAAATTTGACTTCTTGATTGAACAACCTGAATCAGTGCATAAGTCTGCATTTAAAAAAATACACCATCACAGTACAGTAAGTTCATTTACTCTCTTATACACAATAACTTTTTTCTTCATTCCTGAAACCAGTTTTATCCTTTAAAAATGCAAAAGAATTGCAGTAATATTTCGGTGCTCCTTTTGAAACCTAAACCTAAACTGAAATTAAATTAACAACACTCATTGGCAGTTTTTTTAACAAACAAAACTTATACTGCCGAAACTTGAGTACATTTATTTACACAAGGGGATGAGAACAGGTCTGTGTCAACTCACTGCACACATATGTGCAAGTGTGCGTGCATGCGTGAGAAATATTTCCCACAATCTTCTCAAGGATTCACCCATAGCTGAAACGGTAAAGTTCATATTTTTCTTTCCATTTTTCATTATAAAACAGACAGTATTTTCATTCAGCTATTATTTATCCAGTTTAGTCTCATTGAGTCACAAGGACTCATTTACAAGAGAGACCCATTTTAGACAGACAACATGTAAAGTACAGACAACAATAAACTACAGTAAAAGTATATAAGGCACCTGATGATTTCCCTCCGACGCTGGAGCGTTACACTGCCTCCTAGCTCTTTGTGAATCTCAGAGTCTTGTGATTACTTTCCTTTTGCCTTATGATCTTTCCAGTGAGCCTCCTGAGACCTACTTGATATTCAGACCTTCTAGTGAACCTCTGGAAACTTTACCTGCGTGATCTTCAGCTGTTTTTCCTCGCCCTCCAATCACACGCTCTCCCGAGTCTACTGGACCTTCCTATGATTACAGGATTTTGGAACTGAGCTGCTTATCCATCTACCAGTAAGGACCTTGAATGTTCTGATGAATCCCTCATTGCAGAACTCTGGACCTGACCCATCTCCTTGCGCTCCAGGGTTCCTGATATTTCCTGAACTATAACTCACTGTAAACAAAAGCACTGAACTTATACTATTGTGTCTGAGTTGTTCATCATCAGTCCTTTCGCTCTGGGTATTCTGTTTTTGTGACATATAGTTTTAGAAAAACATTATAATTATTTGTAACGTTTTACCTTTTCATACTTTGCTTTACCTGAAGTACTAAAATAATTTTTCATTAGTCACATAATATACGTCCTGTACTGTTAGATCTCCCAGTTTACGGAGAGGTGTTTTATTTTATTTATTTTTATCATGTATTTTATATATAACAATATGTTTTATGAAATGAGATGGAGGAAACATTTTATTCAGAAGTATCAAACAGTCCAAGATTTGTTTTCTACATGCTTTTATTTTTGGAAGCAGATGTTCAGATGTTTTCATGATATACTCACAAAGAATAATCAATTTACAACAAGATTCATTTTGCTCTCAAATAATCAACAAATATTAATTCAGTGGTGCAAAAACAACCGTGTTGATTGTTTTAGCGGTTAAAAAGGTCACTGATCAATAATTTTCATTAATGGTTAAAAGCCTCCATGAAAATTCAAGAAACGTAACAATATAATGTGGATTATAATCGTTTAACACATATAAATCCTAAACACTAACAGGAAAGAACAAACTGCTGTTGGTTTATTTTACAGGATCAGATGCAGATTTCTTTCACAATAAAACATAAACATGATTGTTTGTTTTAATCCTTCATTTATCCATTAAATCACTTCTTAAAACAATTCTCATCAGGTTGGAAGTGATCAGAAACACTCAGAATTTACAGTAAACTGTCATCACGAGTTTATTTATTATGTGCTCACAGTGATGACAATACAAACCAATGATCTAAAATAATGAGACAAAATTTAGATATATTTCAAATCTAGAAACTACTCGATAAAAATAAGGTCTTAATTGAATCTCAACAAATAATTAGGTATCAAGCATAATTGTGATTTAAAAAAAAAAAAAAAAAAAAGTCAGTCTCACCAAAAACCCAGTTTCCTTTAAAAGCTGAAACGCAGCAGGAAAACGATACTGCTCTTTTATCTAGGCTGCATGGTGACGGGTCCATGGCCGGACTGATACCTTAACTCTCGGTGCATTTGGCACCAGTTGCACCACACACAGATGCAGGAGGTGGCTATGTCCTTACAGAGAGAACCCTGTGGAGCAAAAGGGTCAAACCATGTTTTTAATTGTATTTTTACTTGTCGTCTTCAATGAATTCTACATATGTTCTTAACGTGTTTGTGAGGTGTTCAACACACTCAGAGTTGTCATTCTAGCACGAGAAACCGATGAACATCTTATGAGCTCATTACCTTTATACCATATTTATGTCGAATGGCGACTCTCAGAGACAGGCCTGCAGGAGGCACACACAACGGGATCCCACAGGCCGCAAACACTGCAGGGCTGAAAATGTCACACAAAGGAAGGCAGTAGCTTTCTTTAAAATCTCCTGCAACGGTGCAGGCTAGGCAGGGGCAGCACCAGAAGCCATAACAGCCTGCAACGAAACAGATTGGGGTTGAAAAATGACCGCTTTCTTGAATAATTATTTAGATAAGAATAGAAATGAGTGATTCTTACATGAAGCCAAATCATCGCAACAGCTTAAGAGTCCGGAGTTCCAGTTTGTAGACATTTTTCTCTGAACCTAGATTAAAAAAAGGGAAAACAAAAGAAAGTTAAACACACATGGCAACAGAATAGGCAACCAGCCTTTTTTGTGTTTCTAATAAATCTGATTGGATTTTACAGCAATGAGAAACATGCACACCTTTGAAAATTAAGCAATAAAAAGGAAATATTGAGGCTTTTCTGTTTCACATTGTTCCTAGAATGTGAATATTTTATTTTAAGATATTGAGCATTCATTTCATAATATTGGTGAATCCTTGTATAGCTAAGTTCATACAATGTTTTTTTTTTATTTAAAACCTGAGTGGAGGATCGCAGGAATTCCTCCCCAGAATATAATGCATACACAATAATATATAAGTAAAATATTACCTAAAATTTGTTATTTATTTTTCTGAAGGTCATAATTTGTATGAAAATTATTTTGTAATTTCAAGCATATACATGAGACTGATTTCCTCTTCTTTCTTTCTTTTTTTGTATCTTAAAACATTGTTTAAACCAAAAATAAATAGCAATAAAAAATGTTGCATCATGTCATCTAACTAAAAATTAAAATGGGTTTTAGTTTTGCAGGTTTGCAGCAATTGTACCCACAAAAAGGTACAAATTAGAACATTGGATATGGAATGGGAGGCAACAAAATAAAATCACAACAAGACAAGAGGAGAATCAGAAACCCCAGATATCTGCAGCAGATGATCATGTATCCTTTACTGTAAGAAACAGATGCACAGATGAAGCCAAATGAGTTCCTTTATTTCACAGTATAGAGCAGGGCTATTCAACTCAATTGCTCAGGGGGCCACAGTTTCTGGAAGCCAAGAACTCAAGGTCTGGACATCCAACAGTTATCATCATTAAGTAAGTTTGTTTTATGATTTTAAATCTAATTTGATTAAAAAAATTAACCTAATGGCGGGATGAACTGAGTTCATCCATGGGCCGGATTTGGCCCCGGGACCACAAGTTGAATAGTCCTGGTATAGAGGGTTAAAGTGGGACACAAGCCAAATATCACTTTGTGCTACAATAACCTCAAACGTATTAATGACTGTTATTCATGGCTGCATGAACAACAGTCGAAAAACACGTGCAGAGTCTAAAGAAGCTGCATATTATTTGTCTTTTGACGTTATTTGTGCAGGGAAAATACTGCTCCTGGTTTTCTGTGCACGTGCCATTTATGCTTCTGAAGACTGTTTTCGCTCCATTCTCAACGAGCTGTTTGGGTTCTGTGGATTTAAGTCCACCTGAGCTGCCAGAACATTCTGGACACAGACTAGGGAGCTGTTTGAACAGATTGCACTGGCATCAGCAGCAAGTGTGACTATTTTCAGAAAGTTAGAAGTTTATAATGGCAAGATTAATTTAGTTGATTTAGGAGCAAATAAAACAAATAAGGGGCAGCACGGTGGCACAACTGGTAGAGCTGCTGCCTCTCAGCGAGCAGGTCCTTGGTTCAAACCCCGGTCCAGGGGCCTTTTTGGGTGGAGTTTGCATGTTCTCTCCGTGCATGCGTGGGTTTTCTCCAGGTACTCCGGTTTCCTTCCACAGACCAAAAACATGCATGTTAGGCTGATTGGTAACTCTAAATTGTTGAGTGAGAGAGTGAATGGTCATTTGTCTCTATGTGGCCCTGTGATGGACTTGCGACCCGTCCAGGGTGTACCCCGCCCATCGCACAGTGATTGCTGGACATGGGCACCGGCGACCCCCGTGACCCAAAATGGAATAAGCGGGTAAAGAAAATGGATGGATTGATGGATAAAACAAACAAAAGAGACAAATTTGATATATTTGCTTGGGGGGGTCTTTTGTTTTTTACCAGTCACAGAAATGTTTTGTTTTAGTAATGTGGAGCTGAGGGGTTCTTCCATCCATTATCTTTACCCGCTTCTTCCTTTTCAGATCCCGGGGGTCACTGGTGCCCATATCCAGTGATCACTGTGCAAGAGGCGGTGGACACTCTGGACAGGTCACCAGTCCATCACAGGGACACATAGAGACAACCATCCACTCTCTCACTCTCACCTAGGAACAATTTAGAGTTACCAATCAGCCTAACATGCATGTTTTTGGTCTGTTGGAGGAAACTGGAGCTCCCGGAAAAAACCCATGCATGCACGAAGAGAACATGCAAACTCCACTCAGAAAGGTCCCCGACCGGGATTTAATCCGGCGACCTTCTTGCTGAAAGGCAACAGCTCTACCAACTGTGCCACCGTGCCACTATAATAATAATAATGATAGTAATTAATAAATAAATAAGTGGACCATGACATAGCAGTTCCTACAAACTTTTAAAGGATGTCTCTGAAGCAGCGTCACATGTCACAGTTTACCACAAGGTGGCCTGAGAAGTGACTCCGTGTTTGACAGGAGAAGCATCATAAATCAGGTCTTCAGCACGAAGGCCAGTTGTAGAGCCAGTCTTTGGAGTTTCTACTTTCAACTATGGGCAGTGACTGAAATCTTTAAATATAAATATAACAGTGGAAAAAAAAATAAACCCATCTATTTTCAGAATTTATACTTATCCCCACGTTTTCTTCTGACTTGTAAAGTGTTGCGGATAAAGAGTCTGCCAAACAAATGCAGCCTAAGCTTCTAATCTATGGAAACGTACAGTAAGTATAAATTAATAAACAGTAAGTATAAATATAATTTCTATGTGAACTAAAAACTGCTGTTCTGAATCCTAAAAATTGTCCAATGAAACTTTAGGCTGCCGATCTTTACCAGCCAAGAAACAACCACTGGTGTTTGTTCCTTCACCGCTTCATACTTTTGTTGTTTTGGTCATTTTCTACCCAGACTTCTGAAGATACAGAAAGGACTCAGGTGACACGGATCCTTTTAAACTCTTTGAATATGATTTAATCCACTTATTATCTCCTGAAGTAGATTGTAGAAAACTTTTACTTGTGCTGAAAGTACTTTTAAAAATGTGTCCAAAGTAATCTAAAGTAATCTATTCTAAAATATTTTGTGTTCAAATCAGAAGTTAATTTGAATCTTTAACTAAGGGCTTTAATTAAGATAAGGGATGGAATATCTACACAAAACCAACAAATTTAAGAAATTAAAACCCCAAATAAGTACAAAATTGTAGCAGCCTGGGTACAAATGGGGATTAGGATGTAATGAAGAAATGAAGTGAACTGGAGCCAATCAACTCCTGTGGATTAAAGTCAGACAAAAGCCTTTAGGAATATAAACTTTAGCATTTTTCAGTGAGCTCCATGTGATATTATTATCCATATTATTGTTATTTAATATTATTTACAGAAAATCAACAATAACATCAGGAGAGAGGAACAAAGACTGTCAAGATACTGACAGATATACTGACTACAGTATAATTTACTATAACTTTGTGGGACTGTAGTTTGGTGGACTGTCCCAGTCTTGTAATCCTAAGGTTGCAGGTTCAAGCCCAGGATGCATCAGGAAGGGCATCCAGCATAAATAAATTGCCAAATCTTTCATGCGAGTTTGCTCCTTGTGGCAACCCCTGAACAAGGGAGCAGCCGAAAGAAACATACTATACAGATGCTGACTTTATTGACTTTCATCTAATATTTAGTAACTGTTTGGAAGGAGATCATTTTTATATACTTTGTAATCAAACTAAAAATAATTTAACAGGTAAATCTTTGTCATTTGAGAAATGTGGGTTTGCCTTCCAGCCTCCTAAACAGTTAAAAAAATTGCAAGTTTTATCTTTTCCACATTCTTCCACGCTTGGTATGTTACTCGTCTATGTAGGACCTTTATCAACAAAGAGCAGTGAAGTTGCTCAGCACAATTTTTTGTTTTGCTTATGCATCTCAATAATTTGTTTTTTTTTATCTTCAGCAACAATCATTTCAGCACGATTGGTTCGACTAAAAATATAAATAAGTAGAATCTTACCTGCTGGATCGTTTTAGCTGCTGTCTTGATCTGGTGGCCGTGCTGTCACCTTGTAGAGTGGTGAATGAGCATTGACCGTGTGAGGTGTGGCATGTCGTGAGTTTTTAAGAACCTTAGGAAAAAAAAACAACAACAATGTAGCAAAACCAGAACTCTTGCAGAATAGCATTTAAACAACAATTAACAATATGTTCATTTGTTTATATTCATACAGGTGTGGTTGACCTGTCAGGCACTAAAATTCAAAGAATGCTGTCCCTCAGAAACCCCCTGAGGCCACGCCCCATAAGATACAAGCAGCATTAACATACAGGCTTGTTTTAGCAGTTCACACTGAATAGGTTTTAACTTAGCAGGAATTCTGTAGATCCTTCATTACTGTAGTCCTATAATTATGAAAAAAAATACCCGTTTTCAGGTGTAGAATGGTTTTATTGATGATGATAATGTCGAAGCTGGTGTAATTATTAGCACTAGTTTGCTGCTTTGGGTCAAATCTCAGCTCGGGCCTTCCTGTGTGGATGCATGTTCTCGTTACTCTGACATCATTCCACAGTCTGAAAACATGCACGCTAGGGTTGACTGTGATTGACTTTAGGTGTGAGTGTGAGCGTTTCTGGTTGTCTGTCTCGTGTCCTTCTGTGTCGACCTTTGAATGAACAGACCACTGGTCCACTGGTGCAGCCCAACTCTCACCTGTTGACTATAAGAAAACGAGCGAACTGGAGTGTAAGTTGAGTTTATTATCAATAGATGAAGGTGTACAGCCCTGTTCACATTTGTATTATTTTACTATTACAAATAAAAAACAATTCTGAATGTATGTGAAGAAAAATCTATTCAAAATCTTACTTCTAACATACAAAGCTCTCAACAACCTAGCTCCATCCTTTCTTACCTGTCCTATTGTTCCATATTTTCCTAACAGAACACTTTGTTCTTAGGTTGTTTTCACACCTGGTAGTCCGGTAGACTCGGTTCGGTTGGGGACCAATATTCATGACATTTTGTTTACATTTGAGCTGGTGCGTTTGCATTCACACTGCACTGTGCAGTCGAGCCGACCTGTTGAACCAACCTATTCCC